ATAAGCTAATCCTGCACAGGAAAAATTTCTACTTCTATTTAATAGTTTTATAGCTATTAAAAATATTGGTATAGTATAGTTAATTGTAATAACAGCTAAATAAATTTTTGTTTTAAATATACTGATGGGTCCTTACTTTGTGGACAGGACCAAAAAGTTATCATCTATTTTAGCTATTAAAAATATTAGTATAGTATAGTTAATTGTGATAACAGCTAAATAAATGTTTGTTTTAAATATACTGATGGTTCGTTATATTTGACGTTTAGAATCGAAATTTACAGAAGGTCTTTTATAATAACTTTCAAACTACTCTTATTTACGGTTCCTGGTTAAATAAAAAGTACTTCATAGAAAAAAGAATCATTTTAGTCTGACATTACTTGATTAGTAGTCTTATACTAGGAAATGATCATCTAGGATTGATGCTAATGAACTACATAATACCAAGACTCTCTAATTCAAAAATTAAAATACTTTAACCAAAGCTCATGAAGAAAAGATCCAGTATAGATCAAAGTTATAAACCTTAGATTCTTTTAATTTTTTTTTTTTTTCTGTAGTTCCCCTTTTTTGTTGAGTGCCTAAAGGCCAATTGAAGTGAACCATTGATGGCTCATCAATGGGTTGACATTTAAAGCGACAGCTGTCAGGTCAAACAAAAGTGGAACACGACTGCCAGGACCTCACCTTCCATTGAACCGATTAATCAAATATGCATGACCAGAGTAATTATGTTTGATTAACACCCATATATACTTTTGCTTTAATTATGTCTTTTCTCTGCTCCAATTGTGTGCGATTCTCGATTATTATTTTTTCCCTGTACAATTCTGCTTCTTTTGTTTGCTGTTGATTTCCTGCTATTTGTCAAACATTTGCATAATATTGCATTCATTCAAAATTGTACGCGCAAAGAGTTTTTGCAGTGAACAAAAGGTATTCATAAAAATTCAAATTAAATAAATATAAATATGTCAATGCCAAAACAAACACAATGAATGTATTGTGTAGCACTTTCATCAAATATTCAAGTTTTTTGTGCAATTTTAAAATTCAACAAATTAATAAATGGTAATCTGATTAAATTGGAAATGCGAGCAGAATAGCAATTGGGGTCAAATGGGCATAAGATATTAATCAGCTTAAATTACACTTTAAATCAATAACATTCGCTAAGTTACAAGAAATTCTTCTTAAAATATAAAAGGTTAAGCGCCTACTAATATGAACTTTATCAAAATATTTGTATTTCTTTGTGTTTTATTTTTAATTTTATAATCCTTGAAAGTTTTACTATGCGATGGAAAAGTTTCGAACTTTAATTATAAATATATTTCGTATGCAGTGTCTTAAAAAGTTATTTCCGTTACAAAAACCAACAAGTTAATACAAAAAACCTATGAAAATATTTTTGAATTATTTCTCAATGGACTTGTTTATTTTTATAAAGTTTAAAACAACTTTTTTGGGGCGGCCTACTTTATTATTTTTATCTTCCCCTATTTGTGTTGCCCAAGACAATATATATAATATATAGAATACTCGCATGTTAAAGAAAGCTTATGAATTTTTTGGGTGACTTAAGCTGATTTGGGGCAGACAAAGTATAAGGCAATGAAAAAGGTTAAGTACAATGAAAATAATTTATGTATTTGGGCAACTTTTTGGAGCACAAAGTTCAGTTTTCCAGCCAGCAGATATGACCTTGCTGAGGCGTAAGGTAAATAAAATTTTGTTTTATTCATTGAGAAGTGTTTTGCATAAAAAAGTAGCAATTTTACCTGTCAGGAAATCTTAGTTACCTTTTCTGAGCTTACAGGAAATGGTGATGTGAATCTGTGGTGTCTAAGCATATTTTCTAAGGCAATCTTGGTAATGGATTTACGAATAACTGCATATTTATTCATTGTAAATTTGCAAATAAAATTATCTTACATTGCATGTGTTTTAGTTTCTAACCCACATCTGATATTCAGTGAAATGTTTGCTTTGTAAATCAGTAAGTGAAAACTTATTTATCATTCCCTGTCCATCATTGATCCTGATTAGCTGGACCCAGAAATTTCATTAGCATAATCAAATAATGATTGTTCCTCAATCCTTCTGCTACAACTGTCAATAAGTTGATTGGACCTGTGTGTTTAGACACGTGTGAGCTCTGAGAAATTATTGGCATTTTCATAATTAAATTGAGCTGGCCATCCAAACCCATCCCCCCACCCCGACCACTTTCACCCATCAACCGCTGACCACAACAAAGTGAAACAGGGAAAATAAAACAATAAACAAATATAACAATAAGCGAGGCGCTTTTCCCCCACCGGAAAAACAACCGCACTTCCACCCACACTCCCTAATCCAAACAATGACACAATTGCGTGGGATTTTCCTTCCTTTTTTTTTGTTTTTGGAAGCATTACATGATTATTGGTGTTAACTTGACAATAAAATAAGAAATTATCGGATAATTAGCTCAATAAAATTAATCGGGCTTACCTTCCCTCGCTGACTGTCCTTCGATCCAATTTTGTGGGGGATTTTCGTTGATTGATTGGATTTAGATTGAATTTATGATTTTTTGAACGTTTTGCAACACTCCAATCTTCTGTATGCAATTTTTCAGTATTTTTTATCTGCCAAAAAAAAATGTTCTTTAATGTTTGGCTTTTCTCACCCCATCAAAGTGTGTAAAACAATTTTATTTTCCCCTGTTTCATGTGTTAAATATCCCAGCCGCGTGATTGCCGTATTTAAACCATTTCTCGCCCTTTTTCCCCACTTTATGCAAATATTTTGGGTTAAGCAGAATGCGACCCTAATTTATGGGCCCCAAAGGAGATACGAAGGCAGAAAAAAAAGTTCAAAAGCAAAAATTCAGATGAGGGAAAATCGTAACATTTTCCGCGAAATTTAAAAAGGAAAGCGCCAAGTATTTGGCATAATTATTTCTTAAACTCCCAAGAGTAATATTCCACGGCGACCTTGGTGGTCTAAACAAACTGCAGACAAAGTTGAATAATATTTCACATATATTTGAATATTCCACAGCCGCCGTGTGGCCTTGACAGGTGAGAATTGAGTTGAAGGATCGGTTGGGGCAGGTCCTGCGATAAGTTTGGTTTCCTTTCATTAGGATAGTATTTCAGTTTCGTATTTAAATATTCATGGATCGCTTGGCACTTTCGCACACTTTATTTAGGCTTTTCCGTTTCACTTAAGTGTTGCATACTTGATTTTGCATCCTGGCACGCAATTATATTCATTATTATTCCTGCGTATGCGTAGTATTTTCCTTATTTTTCACATTGCGTGCCTAAATTTCGCATTGGCTCATTTATTATTTACCGTTATTGCACTTTGGACAACTTTTACTTTCGACCAGCGCACCCGTGTCCGTGTGAGCGAGCCCACTTGTGCGTGTGTGAGTGGCGTATTGAGGTTGTCCTCCGAACAGGACCTTCCACCGCTTTTCACCGTGAGAACGAACCGAACGATACGACTGCACTGAATACACTGAAAGCCACACGAGCGCCGTCGGCTTGAAAAGCCAGGCGACCAGCCAAAGCTCCCGTTTTCCTCTTCCCCTTTTTGGCCAACGAGAGAGAGCAAGCTTTTCCGCCTAGCACAGTGGGGCAAAATGCCTCCATCCCGAGTGCTCGCTTCCAGTCGGATTTCCCTCTCTCGGTTTGGCACTTTCGAACTTCCCGTTGGCATGGGGATCTCTTCTAGCCCGCGCTCTCTTAAGGGCAGTGTTTTTTGGCCATTTGTTGACATCCTTACAATGCCACAGCTCTTTGGCCTGCTTTAAAGAATTCGGGCTATTTCAGCGCTTTAAACGGGTTGCGAAAAGGATTTTTAACGAAAGAACAGTTTATTTCATGGAAAACATTTAGTTTGCCCTAGTTCTAGCTTTACTTAACTATATGAATGAAGTTAGTGTTGGTAAATGGTTAAGGGAAAATTAGTATGAGTATAATTTCCTCTTTAAAGTAAAATATAAAATCAGATTACTGATACTTGGGACCGTTTTATGACTTTTTGAATCAGGAATATTTAAAGAAGAGAGTAACACTAAGGCGAACTGTTGTGTCCTTATTATGTAAAGATATTTAAACAGATCCTATGATAACATTTAAGTACAAATATACCAAGAAGCATTACAAAAAATTTGAGTTCTAAAAAGTTTTTGATATTTCTAGTGTATAGATAAACAGATTTATATTTACGGTTAAGAAACTTTAACCTACTTTAAGGGTCCGAAAAATTCAGAAGAAATTTCAAATGCCCTTTAACTTACGAATGTATTTCTTCGTCATTATGATGACATTTCTAAGAGCCTTATCAGCCATAAAAACCTTTGTTTTAATTCCCAAACCATGGCATGGCATCACCATTCTGGAAAGAGTTCAGAGGTGGGTGGACACTGGTCATGGGAGTGAAGAAGATCAAATAGGCAGCTCCAGACACTCGGCCTTCTTAAGCACTTAGTGCACATTAAGTGCCAGGGATTTGGATTGTTTGCTGCCCAGCCGCTTGCCCCCATGCCCAATCCGTTGCAGTTCCTTTTCAACATCCGAAAAACCCCTCTTTCTTCTCCAACTGCTCCTTAGTCTTCTTCAAAGTTAACTGACACTTACACTTGCACTTCTGCGAAATCAAATGCATTCGCCTTGGCTTTGGGTTTGGATTTCTTTTTTTTGTTCGAATGACTACCCATTTCAAGAGGCTGGAAAACGCTTTTCCCGAAAGATTGGCAATTGGAGATGAGACCTTGAAATAAGTTTCGATTAATGGTTAAAGATTTAAACAGAGATAAAGCATTATTATTAAGAAAACTCAGTAGGTAGTATTTTATAAGATAAGATTCATATGTGGTTACCCAAAAACCAACCAAATATATAAAGACATTTCATTTAGAAATAAGATATAATATCCTCACACCCATTTAAACACATTCTCTTCAGAAGCCTTACTTTTATTTACCAATCCCTTTCCTCGCAGGTATTTTTTCCAATCTTAGCACTTGTACATAAGTCGAATTTTGGTCCAATCGCCCTCGGAAGGACCCCGCACCTGACCCATTTCCCTTTCCACAGCTTTTCCCTCGATTAAAGCCCGAATTGTTGGTTTTGAGGGATCCTTGGCGAAGGCATTTTTCGAATAGTGCATAACGCTCTCGTAGTCATATGGGACATCGAATGTGGTCGTCTGATCCATGGCCATAAATTGCGACCAGTACTTCCTCGGGATATTATCATAGTCGATTTGCACATACTGATCGCGATCGGGACGACTTTGCTCGTGGAAAAGTCCCAGCAAATGGAGAGTTTCGTGTTGGATGACAGCCGGCATGGTGAGGCACTTCTCATTTAGAAGGACTTCGTGGGGACCAAAGGATAAGGGTTGGTAGCCTACTCTAGTTCCACACATATTGGGCGATTTCTTGAAGGACACATATTTTTTGCCCGAGGGCGGGGATCCTTCGATCTCCTCGAACTGCACACAGGTTTGTTCTCCAAAACTAGACATGGCTGTCCGGACATTAGCCACCTCTTGTTCATTGTAGTCCCCAGAAATTCGGTAGTATATCTTGTTTCCAGGCCAACGTTGCAGTGGTGATGTCAATGCATTTCGGGTCTTGGCCTCCGCCTGCTCATCATCCACATGGATCTCATTATAGTAATTCTCGTAGGACTCGATCCCTTCGGATGCCACCAGGATGGGTCCGAAAAACACCGCCAAAAGTAGATATAGAACTGTTTGAAGGAACATTTCTTCACTTTGTGACCAAACTTTAAAAGTAAAGCTGCTTTTATACTCTTTATTTAAAATAGTTATCAGTTTTATTTCTGTCTCGAAAATATTCTTTAAGTTAAGGTTTTACATACATACATACAGACAATTCAAAGACACGCAAACAAAAACACATTCTTCAGCACAAACCTTAAACACTGTGCAACAAAAAAGCTTTCAATTAGTTTAACATTTTTCAGATTAAGAAAGTAAGTTACGTTTTTTCGAAATTAGCTAACCATTTTTTGCTGGATAAAAAAAATGTCGAATCTATATTCAGTTCAGTTAACCTATTTTAATTTTCTAAGGAAATTGTTGCTCTTAAGGAAGGTTTTAAATAACAAACACAACTTTATCGAACTTATTAAAAAAATGATCAGCACTTTGTTGCACAGTGTATTTAGCCATAAACGTTTCCAGACTAAAGCCTGCTCTCCATTAACAATCGCAGTTTTAATGGAGCCAAGTTCGACTTTATCCGTTTGAAAGACTTATATGGCTAGGGTTGCGATTCCGCATTTGCATAGCTTAGCATAGATACAATAATTATACGTTTGCATTTGCCTTATGTATGCACATCGAACTGCATTACACTACACATTGGTGGCTACAAAAATGTTGTGGCTTTGATTTTCTGAATCAAGTTAACAGCCATCTTTAAAATATGTTGCTACCCCCTTGAAATATGAATATTCAGCCGTTCTAGAGCTAAAGAGGCGAGTTCTAATTACATTATAAACTAGATTTCTATGATAATTTGTATAACAAACATAATGAATTTGCTAAATATGTCAATCTCCATTTTCCTTGAATTGAAGTAAAATCAAAAACATTATTATCCAATTTTTAACAATATATTTTTCTAGCCACCAGTGTATTTTGTCATGCATTTCAGTGCTCCTTCTGCAGTTAAAAATCCTCCGATAAGCAAACTATGCACATATTCCAAAAGCCCCATTCCTGGGATCAGAATACGCTAATATATACACATATAGATATCGTATATTAAGGTTTTGCATTTGGGTTCTTTAGGTTAGTGCTATTTTGCTTTGGGTTTAGTATGTTTAATTCCAGGTATAAACCAATAGTTGATTATTGTTGTTAATTACAGTTTGTATATTTCCAAAACTTCGTTTTCTCGTTTATAAACAAACGCATCACTAAGACGTGAGTTGTGGGTGGTGGCCGGTGTTTTTTTTTTTTGTTTTTTTTTATAGGTATTGTGGTTTTTGGATTTTCCGTGGCTTGGGCCTGATTGAAGCAGCGTTGAGGAGTCACCGGCTATGTGCCAGATAATTAAAATTAAGCCGCTCAATCATGCCCAGGCTTTTGGTCATATTTATAGTAAAAGTACATACAATATTATTTTAATCATAAGTCATACAAAATAGAGTAGCAAGAACACATAATAAAAAAAGAAAGTTTCAACACATTTCGCAAGCAAAATTCAAAGACAGCAAATCATCTCTTCTAGAACTTTTCATTGCGTTGCTTCGGTTGTCTGCCTGATTTTCTTTTCTATTGGCTTCTGTTTTGTTTATCGTTGTCAGTTGTAGTTATCGTCCTGATCCGTCGATTCAGGCACTTCGCTTGCTAACATCACAAATCAGTTTCCAGTTTCCAGTCGTTAGTAACGATCTCGTCCATTTTCACTTTCACATTTCCTTCATTCAGCATAGTTTCGAACTCTCTCTCCATCTCTAAATATACATTAAATAGACGGTAGTCATAGTAGTAGTAGTATTTAATGGATGCTTTTGTGGATGGCGGGCGGGCAGGCGGTTGATCGATTGATCGATTGCTCGAGTGAGTGATTGAGTGAATTGAGTGCTTGACTCTCGTCCAGTCCTCGTCCCGATCCTCGTCTCTAGTGCAGCTCGATGAACTCGTACAGGGTGGCTGGCACGGTTCCCTCGTAGCGTATGTCATGCTTCTTGATCGTCCTTGCTGCCAAGCACGCCAGCGTTGTGTACTTCATCGGGTCGATGATCTTATGCATGGGCGTGGGGGCTAGCAGGCTCTCAAACGTCTCGCCAGCATAGTTTTTGGTGTCCTAAAGGAGGAACCACAATATTAGTAAAGTTTACAGGACTGACTTCGAAACCATACTCACCAAATGCGCTCCGCCCTCTAGCAGGATGTGCGACAGTGGCTCCACATAGGGCTGCATGGTGGCCAGGTGGAGAGGTGTGTTGCCCGCCTCATCGATGGCATTCGGATCCGCTCCCACCTCCAGCAGGGCCTTCGCCAGGGTGACAGAGGGGAACTGGCAGGAGGGATAGCGACCGGCCAGCGTGCCCTCCCGATAGCAGGCGTAGTGCAGGGCAGTCCGGTCGAATCGGACGCGAACCTTTAAGCGATTCAGGCGGTAAAGGGCTCCCATCACCTGGCGACGCATCTCCGGATTGAGGGCGTCTGTGTCCAGCAGGGAGCTCAGCAGACAGCCTATGTGAATGGCACTTATCATGGTGCGACTCAGGGCATTTGGATCGTGGTTGCAATCGTGCTGATGCGCCGAAAGCAGCGTCGTTGAGGAGGAGGAAGATGAGGATGAGGAAGCCGAGCAGGATGGCGATTTGTCAGCTGCCGGCAGCTGCTTCTGCGGTTGGTGCTGGTCCTTCTGCTGCTCCAGCGTGAAGGCCTGACCTCTCTCCACCTCCTTGACAGCCTTATAGAAGATGGTCAGCATGCCGTCCGCCTCGATCGGCGGAACCACTCGACCTCTGGGCAACAAACGGCCCGCCTCCACCAGCATGAAGCTAAAGAGCTCGGCGAAGGACAGCAGCGAGGATTGCGTCATGGGGCTAAGAGGCTGCAGGATCTTCTGCTGCATGGTCAGGGCGTAGGACCAGAGTTCGATGCAGCGGTCAAAGCGACCCGCGTCCGCATAGTGGGCACCCCTGCGAAGATAATTCAAATTGGTTAATAATAAGTTCAAATAGAAGAAATTTACAAACCAATTCTTATATGACTCATAAAAAATACAAATTTGTGGATAATTTCAAATAGTGATTAATGAATTAGTCACTTTTAAACATATTCTGTTATAAATTTTATGATACTAGTACTAACGAATACTAATATTTAACGACTACATTTAATACTCATGAAGAACAAACACCAGATCACACATATTATCAGTCACTTTACAGCTTCTCCAGTTTAAAACCACAAAGTATTGCACCCACCTAAATCGGATGTAGTAGCTGGTGTCCGGATGCGTGGGTCCCAGGATGCGCTGCCTAATGACCAGAGCCTGCATTCGCATCTCGTCGGGATCCAACACCATCTCCTCCAGCTCCTCCACGCTGGTCACCTCGCGAACCATCTCGTAGGCCGGCACTGGTTCCTGAACCTTCTTCTCCAGCGGTGGCTCCAGCGCCCGTTCCTCCAGCGCTCGCCGCCACAGAGTAAGTGCCGCTGCCATGTCCCTCTTTCGGTCCACATACGTGGCTCCCAGCAGTTCCAGAGCGTGAATCCTCGACTCCCTGCTCACGCAGGGCAATGTGATAAGGTGCTCTACGATGGGCATGTGACCGGTGACACTGGCCGCCAGCAGCGGCGTCATCCCGTAGAAGTCCACGTCCATGGTGGCGCCGTGTTTGAGCAGCAGCTGTAGGATCTGCAGGGATCCCGACTCGGCGCAGTCGTGGAGCGCCGTGTTGCCCTTCACGCTGCAGCGGTTGACGTCCGCGTTCAGGGAGAGCAGATACTGGGCGATGCGGAAGTGGCCCTTGTAGCAGGCGATCATCAGGCAGGTGTGGCCATGTCGGTTCGCCACCTCAAAGTCTGTGGTATAAGAGAAAGTAATTAGCACTTGTCTTAGGAGAGAGACCAAAAATAGGGCAACTTTTAAACCTGTTCCAGTTATTATTTATAGATCATAATTAAATGCAAATATAATCTTTATTACTTGAAAATATGAACACATTGGCTATTTTAATCCATTAATATTATAGAAATATAAAATTTAAATTGTAATTTCGAGTAGGTTGTACTGTTTATTAGAAAATAATAAATGGAACATTTAGAACCTTGCCTTTGCATATAAATATTCTTGAAGTCAGGATCATACTTCACTTCAAAAACTCTCATTTGCCATAATGTCCAACTACTCACCCGCTCCGTGGTGCACTAGGTATTTGACGATCTCGTAGTGTCCGTCGAAGCAGGCGGCTCTCAGCGGAGTCGAATTCGTCCTGGTGGTGCTGTTCACATTCGCCCCCCGGCGGACCAGCATCTTGACGATGCCCAGGTGGCCGGCGGCCGCTGCGCACCACAGCGGTGGGGCATCCTCGATGGGCTCACCGTCGAAACTGACCGATCCCACCTGCTCCACATTTGCCCGACACTTTGTCAATAGATATTCTACAATGTCGTAGTGTCCGTTGCGGCAGGAGATGACCAGCGGGGTGGCTCCGTTCACTTTCGCCGAGATCAGGCTGCCCACTTCGCCGGAGCTTTTGTTGTATAGGGTGGCCTGAAAAACAAACGAGGGAGAATATCTGGGTTAGTTTGGCACTCAACTGGGGCATAAATTGAATAATGAAATTTATGACGAGTTCGTTATCAGAAAATCCATTCATTTGCGCAGAGCAAAAACACAGTCTAAAGTGCATTATGCATGGGAAATGATTTAAAGTTGTAGTATGACCTATGTGATTCATTTTCTACTGAAAAATGTATTCCAATTTAAAATCAATTTAGTCTTCCCTTCTTCACTGGCAATATTTCTTTTATTAATTGTTTTTTATGGAGTGTAAAAATACTTTATAATGAACAAAACAATGTGGACCTTATCAAATTCCCCCATATCAGTCCCTGGCTAGTCGTTTAAATACATTGCTTTGCGTGATACCAATCGAAATCAAACAAAAATTCCCATAAGAAAAAATTTTTATTTAATCATTAAATAAATACGATAATAATTAATTACTGCTTTCAAACAAAATGATGACGAACAAAGCGAATTGCTGGTTGAGCGTGAAAAAAAACTCAGGTGGCCTGAGCTCAGGAGATAACAAATGGTGGGGAGGTTACGAGTAAGAGAGGAATCCGAGAGATATAGACAGAAATCAGCTGGGGAATAAACACATATCAGGTCTCTCTCTTCAGTTGCCCAGCACACGCCGATGATTTTTATTGTATGACAGCCGCCTAGCCTCCCATGCCAATTCGAAATTGAAATTCATTTATGTCAAACGTGTTTCATTTTCGTTTCATAGTATGCTAATTATGTTGTTTGCCAGCGCGTGCAGGGGTGGCGGTGGGGCAAAGGGGGGTTGATGGGGGGCGGTGGGTTGGTTCTGGTCGCCAGATTGGCTATGACGAATAGAATCAAACTGCAAAGGAATCAACAACTCGTTTCCATTTAATTTATCTAAGCATATTCAAATCATTTCCATATTTCTACACAAGAAAACTATTTTTTTAAGTACTCCATTATAATTTTAAAGCTTTAATAATCCTATATATTTCAATGTAATACTTTTCTTTCTAAAAACAAGTTAATATTAAGGAAATAAAACGTATTTAGACCAAAAACCTTGACTATACCATATCAATTCGGCGAGACAAAAGCACTTTCCACCTATAAAACTCAATTTGAGCACTCGTCCATATGTCTGTGTCAAATAAAAATCACCCCCCCAAACACTCCCCAACCACCGCCCCTGTCTACTTAGAACCAGAAACGAGATAGGAACAAAGAGGAGAAACCAAGATAAAAGATGCCAGCCAAAAAAGATGGGGAAACGGGGGAGAAAAGACCTTGTGAATGCCGCACGGCTTTTTTGATACAGTCCAACCTAGAATATTCGACGTCCCCAAAAATTTGAAAACATAAGAATATTATATAAAGTATTAGGAAAAAAACAACCTATTTTTAAAGAAATTTTAAATATATATATTTTTTATTTATATATACTATTCATACTTTAATTGTATTTAATCTAAGAATAATTAATATTATTATTATAAAAAATTTTATATTTGTAAAACTATATTTAAATGCATAATATTTCTAGTCACGGGGGTATTTAGATCCCCCACAAACTTTTATTTTTCTCTATATAGTCCATAAAAATGTTGGCCAGAGGAAATAGTTTCCTACTTTCTGCAAAGAGAACCCCCTCTTGGCCAATTCGCCTTGTCTCGATATTATTGCCATCGTCACTAGACAACCGAATTCTTTGTTTTGACCCCTTTAATACCCCTCGCCTACCCGACAATCAACGCCTCGTGCGCGTGACAAGGAAAAAATAACATTAAAACAAAATCAAGAGAAAGCTGTGAAAATGCAAAATAAGAAACACTTTTGGCAAGACTATTAAGCGGAAAACGTATTTTGAAAATTCAGATTATTGGGAAGTCTTTTCGGCACAACAAGTGCAAGCGCACAAACAAATTGAACAATGAGAATTACGCATTAATTTTGCATTTAACGCGGTGCGAAAGCAAAAGCTGAATATATGTATTTATATATTTATATTTATGTTACAGTGTCGCGTCATTGGCGATTCCATTTTATTGGTTACTGAACTTTTCGCTTTCGCACCCGGGGGGAAATTGATCATCACATCAGCTGGTCTGTTCTTTTCCGCCTTCCGATCAATTATGATTACGACTTTGACAGCCATGAATCAGCTTTATGTCTGGGTGATACGAGAACTCACAGTGAGTTTATATTGGAAGAACACGGAAAAATAATCTCCAGAAAGATCTACATACTTGACTTGAAGCATTACCCTCACGATGTTCTTTCAAATAAAAAAAATACAATCTCTAGGAAGTATATTACTTCTTCATCAGATTACTTGGAATCTTTTAAGTACTTAACATTAAACATAACATATTAATTATAGCAATTAACATTTGAAGTTTTAAACATTTAAAATAGAATCACACCCTAAATCTTTGGGAATTTGGTATCTATCCTTTGACATTTCAGTAAAAGGTTGTCAGAACCAGTTCTCCAAATGCCTAAACTAAGCTAAATAAACCTATAAATATTTGATTTATATCATTTTTTTACAGATCTTTAAACACTTTGGGAAGCCGTAATTATTATGATTGCTCCCGAAGTTCACTTAAAGGTACCTTGAAAATGACTTTATCTTAGCCCAGTGTCAAATAAATTACTCATACCATTGTATCACTGATTTTTCTTTTCCTTTTTTCTCTCTTTCCCTCTCCATATCTTCCTTTTAGCCATTATTTAACCTTGTTAGCCAGGTCCGAAGCCGAAAAAGCTTCAAACGAAATGAAAAGTCAATCTGACAATGGTGGAGGGCAGTCCGTGTGGCCCCAAAAGCCAGCGGCACGTGAATTGTGGGCGGATCGGCTGGGGTGGGGGCGTGGCAGAGGTTCGGGGGGTGGATTGGGGGGTAGCAGAAGTAGGGAAAATCAATCGACATTATGCTTACAATACTTATGACCCCGCCTGTACTGCCTCGAAAAAACGGAAGTTCAATCAAGAAATCGATTCCAATTCTGGGAAACTCTTCACTTGCTAAATGCTTTAGTTCAGCTAATTATGCTAAGTAGGCAAAGGTTAAAATGATAGAATACTAAGTAACAGTGGGAAGCAACATTCGGCTTTTTGAATAAAAAAGTAAACATGTAAACATTTTAAGCACTCGTAGGTTCAGAATTTGCAAGAATCAAAAGGCCCTGTTCATGAATATTTATTGGCTAACTCAGTTTGCTTTGCAATAAAAAACCATTAAATCCTCAGCCTTTGTTTACAGAAGATTTAATCCGACAGTATCCAATATGCACTCAAGCACTAATCCAATATTTATTTTAGCCCTAGCCCAGATGTAACTTGTAGATTTTAACACATGCATGTAATTCATATTTTAACAAGATTATACATTGTTTGCCAACAATAGTTTGCCATACAAAAATTTGCATTTGCCATTCTACTTCAACAGGTACATATGTGTTTCCACAAAAACGCATTCCCCCCAGAAATTCTTGTTTATTTTTCCAAATAATTTCGTTTATTCCCCAAGATTCAGAGAAAATCCCCAAAAACCGAAAAGTTCCCCCGCAGAGAAGATGAATGAATGGCAAAACAAATATACTTAAAGTCTGAATGCAACGGGCCAGGTTAATTTATGTTTTTAAAATTCCTATAATTCAACTTGTGCCGGAAAAAAAAGAAATTTGAAAATTTTACTTCCACAAAAAGTGGAAATAAATTTCATTTTAATTTGTTTGTCTGTTCCTGGCTTGTTTCGCAAATTGGGGAAATGTAAAACAACAATTTCCCAAGGTAATCTGTTGTTTTTGAGCACTTCACATATTTGTTCTCGGATTTTCAAAAGGAGAGTGAGTGGAAACACCTTGGGGCCCCGTTTACCGCTATGCACAAATGTCAAGCGAAAACGGGCCTAAACACTGCTATTAAATTAAGGCAGCAACACGAACAAACAAAAAATTGTCCGTTTCCGTGTAATAAACAATAAACAACTTTCCATTGTTGTTGCCAAGCCACTGTTTTTAGCCTTTTTGTGTTGGGCTGTGTGAATTGTTAGTTGGTCGTTTCGCTTTGCGATCAATTTTCTGCTTTGACCGTTGGCCATATTTCCATATCCCCCCTCCATTCATACCACCATAAGTCCCCCTCTGAACCACACACGCATAATTTATTATAATTTTGACATTGAACGAGTTCAATGTCGATGATATGCAAGTAGACAACTCGAACCTCAAGTTCAGCCGACTTCAGACTTGGTCATCACACTCCAATATAATTCAATTTGGGATGCCGTTCGACCGATCAACCTACCGACCATTCAACTGAGAATCGACATTCGATCGGCTTTTTTGGGGGTCTCGGTGCCCGGCATTCAAATCAGTCAGTCAACGTCAGACCCCAAGTATTTGGTTTATTTGTTAGCTTAGCCGCGACTGCGCGACCGGCTCAAGGGTGACAAAAGCCAGACTTTTGAGCCATAAATCCCAAATGAGCCAAAATGACCAGTAGTCGATAGAGCTGCACAAACAGAAGCCCGCAGAAAAGCATTGAAACAAAGCAGGAAGAATAAAAACACTGCAAAATAGACGTTTTAAATAAATTTGTATTCATACTTTTCTATCTTTTTTTAAAGTTTCTTTTTCTTTTCAATAGTTATGAGTTACACACATAAAAGCGTTTATGTAAAATTTACCAATATAATAATAATCAATTTAACCAACCAAATAGTTACTCTCCCAACAAAAAAATACGCACCACCTACCATTTTATGGTAGTTTTACTATTAAATACTAAATAAAGCAACAATAAAATACTAGTGACTATTCTTAATAGTTGTTAACCTTTCTTTACAGTGAGGTAACTATCCATGTTGGTAAATTTTACTCTTAAAATTTGTTTGTGTGTATAATTTTGATATTATTTTAACCATATCAACCTTTCTTACAGTTTCTTAACTATCATATATTGGTAAATTTAACCCATAACATTTTTTTGTG